CTCCTGGACTACGGTTCTGGCAGCGGCTGAGTCCAGCCACACAGTCCAGTGGCCCCTGTTCCACACCCCTGGTTCCCTTGGGCTCTGGTGACACGTCCCTGACCCGTGTCCCATCCAGGGTGGTCCAGCTCCTTGCTTCTGCTAGTCCTGCACGCTGCTGCGCCCATCAGTAAATTCTTTTACAAGAAACAGTTTAGCATGTGCTGCATGTTTTCTGCTGGGACCCCCAACCCAGACACCAGACACCTCCTTACATCGCCTCAGCTCAGACAGGGAGCATTAGGGTCTCCCTTGGACAGGGCGAGTGCAAGAGCCTCTGGTCCAACGATCCGATTCCACAAATGAGGACACTTTAGGAGGCAGAGTCGGGGAAGGTCTTGCCTGACCGTAATAGATGTTGGTGCCGCCCTGGGCCACATCCCCTGGGCTCTGCCCACTCTGTCCCTTGGACAAAGCGCTTATGGTTTTCTGCCTGGGGCATTCTCTGGCCCCAGGAACACTCAGGCCAGGCTGGAAATGCTGGAGTATGTTCGTCCTTGAAGCAGCCTCAGGCAGTGACAGATGAGGGCTGGTGGATAAATGTCCTTAAACAGGTTCTAGTCTCCCAGAGGGGCTGGATTGGGTCCCAGCTGCCCTGAGCAGGGACCGGCTCAGGAATGCACTGGTACTGGCTTCGCCCCCGTCCATCTCACTTCTCCATCTCCTGCTGGTGCTTCCTGGGATCACTTGCCACACAAACTAGTACTTGCACCAAGAGCTCATCACATGGCCTGGGTGGGACAGATCCCACTCCGGCCTCCAGGGGTTAGAAGTCTCCTATATCATCCAATCAGAGCACCCCGTCTTCCTGGCCACAGTGATTGGTTTGAGGATGGGCGTGTCACTCAAGCCCAGGCTGACGGAAATCAAGTGTGTGACTGTCGCTGGGAAGGGAAGCCCTCCTTCCATGCAGGTCACTCCACTCCACGCAGATGTGCAGTGGGGCTGCCAGCAGGCCTCTGGCACCTCAGAGGGAAGGCCTGTCTGGGAACAAAGCCAGCACCGAGGAAAGCAGGGCTGAGAAAGAGATTGCCTCCTGGGGACACCGAGTCCCTTTTTAAATAGGTTTTATTATTGTTTAGGTATGGTAAGGCCAACAGATGGGCGATGACTGCCACTGAAAACACAGCTTATTAACCTCACAAATCCCAGGAGAGGGAGTGTATGTCACTTGATGGGCGGGGGGGGACACACAGGGCAGCGCAGGGTCGGTCTTCAGACTTCAGACAGAGGAAGGGGGATCAGGGGGTGAGACCCTTTCCTGTGGTTTCTGCAGGAAGGGATGGAGGGGGCAGGGTAAGCAGGCTTATGGTTGGCTGGTATGAATAATTTCAGGGGACCCTTGGGGAGTAGGGACTGTCCTTGGTTGTTTGGCATCTGGTTCTGGGGTGATTAGGGGTGTGGGCTCTGGATTGGTTGAAAAGAGGGAAGGGTGATACGGGAGGCACGAGGCCAGTACCAGGTGATCAGGACTCAGGAAGATGGTCAGGTTGTCTAGGTCAAGGTGTGTCCAGCACAGGCAGGGCAGATGGTAAAAAGCATCAAGTTTCCAGGAGCCAGAAACACAAAAGAATCACCCAGCTAGTTACAGGCAGGTTCAGGGCTTAGAAACCAGCTGTCTTACTATCCAGGCTGGTGTCTCTTCCCCCGCGCCTCTGAAAGGGCTCAGCTGTGTCCCCAACACATGCCACGTGTCCTCTGGATGGCCAGAAACAGTGCGGCTGACATGAGTCAGTGGAGAAGGTAATGGCATCTGGGTGATGAGCCACCGCTGCTGGATGGGGGCATCAAGGAGTCGTGATGCGCTCGGCTGGGAGCCTACCGGTCCACCTTGCTCTCCCCAGGAAGACAGATGAAAACTCCAGAAATGTGCACCTGTTCTGCATTCAGGCATGTTGGTGCGCACAAAGCGACCACTTGAGACCCCGTAACAAAGACTAATGGGCTGAGTCAAAGTCTGGGAATGTGAAGAACCGATGTCCTCGGATGGAGGTGACTCACGAGCACAGACTAACAGAGCAAATGTCATGGGTGGCAATGACACTGCAGTTAGAAAGCACTTTTGCGTCCTTCAGGGTCTGCAGACACTCAGCCTCTCCAGATGCTGTTTCCCGGAGACCGGAAGTCCTCTGAACGCAGGAGGGAGAGGAAGACATCACGCCGTGTTGCCCAGTGCAGGGTTTGACGGCCCCCTGTCTACTCTCATTTCCGTTTCTGCATCTTGAGTGGAGCTCTGCGTTCCAGCAGTGGCTCTTCGCTGTCCCATTCTGAGTGCTGAGTTCTTCCTGGTGTGTAGAGAGAACTCAATACATAGTTTAAAAATAAATGACTCCTTGCCGCTCCAAGTATGGTCCCTGGGCCAGCAGCACAGGCATCTATCTCCTGGGAGCTTGTCAGAAATGCAGAATCTCAGGCTTTGCCCCAGGCCTACAGGACGTGCTCTGTAAACAGGTCCCCGGCCCATTCACGCGCGCATTCACGCGCGCACGCACCTTAGAATTTGAGAAGCACTGGCCTAATTCATTGACTTGCTCTGAGCCGTCTCACCCATTCCTAAGGAGGACATGGCCTTCTGGGCGACGAGCTGTAGGTCGTTACAGATCACTGAGTGCGTATTACTCACTCATCGTTTGGTCCCAAGTGCTAAGAACAATTACTTGCGAGTTTCAAACAGAGCAAAAAAAATGGCCGTGTAACCTTTCAAAATCAAATCAAAACACCATCTGCTTAAAGGTTATCTGATTTTTCAGGGGATGTAACTTTGACTTTGGTATTGACTAGGTCCAGATTCCATGAAGGTAGACACTGACTGGGAGGATATGAAGTTGCAAGTGATTTTTTCCGGTGGAGAAGATAATCTCAGAGATTGCTGGCATGCTGTCATCCTCGACAGGGGTCAGCACACTGCTTCTGGGAAGAAAGGGCCAGAGGGCGTTTTAGGCTTCGTGGGCCATACGCTCCCTGTCGCAACTATTCAAACCCGCCAGCGTATTGTGAAAGCGGCCACCGACTTCTCTGAATGAGCCTGGCTGTGGTCCAATACAGCGTCACGCACGGACACTGGAACTCGGATCGCCTGTCATGTTCGCGTGTTACGAAACACTGTCCTTTCTTTTCCCAACAGTTTAAAAATATAAAACACATTCTTAGCTCAGGGGCGTGCAGAAGCAGGTGGTGGGTCTGAGTTCATCAGCAGCTCATAGGTGGTCAGTTCTTAACCTAAACGTTTTATGGCCCTGTTGGTCATGAACTGGTGTTGTACGGAACTTGGACATGTATTCCCACGTTCTCCTTCCCCCCTACTAAATGTATGTGGGTGTACAGATGCTGGTGTGTGTGCATGAGTTTCTCCTATCCTCGGAGCCAGTGTTTCCACCCTGCTGCATCCTTCACTGGTGAATTCAATCCATCTTTGACATGTGATCCCCCTGTATTTCCAATTCACTTTGAATATGGAGGGCTTTGGCCAACTCTTTGGTTACCTGGGCTCCCCTCCCCTCCACCAAGTGTTTCATCAAGATGTTGTCCTAAATAAAGACAGGCCTGTCCCTAAGGGAACATCTGATGCCTACAGTGTCCCCCCCTTCTCCCCGCACTGTTATTACTCTGAGGTGGTTTTTGCAACACCTCTCTCTTTCTGGTAGAGCCAACGGGCTGGTCTGCATGGATGAAAGCTAATGCGTTAATGACACTGGTGGGCTATGCACAGGGGACTTGGCAAGGAGGTACCAGTGAATGTCAAGCTGCCAGGGCCCATGTGGAGGAGAGGACAGTGGTGCCCTGGAGGGCTCCGGCAGGGTTCCTCGCCATCTCTCCCCTGTCTCCCTGCTGGCAGCGCAGCTGGGGACTCGCCCTTGTGGATACACAGGTATCATTAACAGGGACCGGTGCTCCCCAAAAGACCTGGCTTTGACAGGCCAATGCTACAGCTGGAGTCTTTCTATTGTAAGGCAAATAGCAAGGGTTCCAGGAGTAGGGGGAAAAGTATAGGTTGGTGCAGAGGAACAATGCACTGGATGCCTGACTAATGTTTGCTTCTGGAGGGGGGACAGGCATTAATTAAATGGTCCCTGGGGGGGTGGGGGCGTTTCCCAGCAGGGGGCAGTGGAAAAGCTGGCGCCCCTTTCCCCACTTCAAAATGGCCAAGAACACTATGAAAAAATGCTCATCCTCATCAAAGTAATATTAAGACCAGCACCAGCAAAAAGTGTTATTACAATATTTTTGTCGTTTTGCATAGATGAGGGTGGAAGTCGGTGTTACCTTCCTGAAAGCATTTTGGCAATAAATACATCAAACACTGCAGTGTTTGTCCCAATCACTGTAGCGGGTCCTGGGTCCTTGGCCAAGTCGAGCCCAGCCCTGGAGGTTACGAGAGAGAACGGGCTGAAGCTTATAATATTTTATAAATAGCCATATACTTTTAAGTACACAATGATATGTGAATATGATTGTTGTGAAAAATTAAAAATTACAGAGTGAATTAAATTTCCCCCTTGACACGGTTAACTCCCATCTTGGGGGTCCTTATCACTTGTGTGTGTACCTTTCAAGACTTTTTATCCCATTATTTCTAGATACATGTGTCTACAGAAATAAGACATGCAATTCTGTGGGGGAGATTTTGGGTGTATAAATGATATATTTCATGCATTTTTGTGCAACTTGCTTTTGTCACTCAATAATATGCCGGAGACATGTTTTGAATCTGTACGTGAAGGCTGCATCGCGTTCCAGTGGACCAATAAATCCACCGCCGTTTCTTATTAAGCCTGTTTGAGTTGAGTTTCCTGTCACTGGTGACCAAGTAAACACCCTGTATCGGGATGTGCTTGTGTAAAATCTGTATCTGGGAGAGTTAGCTCCTCTGTGTGTTTTACATTTCTTGAGGGTCATCTCTACACTAGGCACAGCTACAAGACAAAGCTGGAATTGGTTCATGCTGACAGGGCAAGAGTGGGTCAGTGAATGGTCAGAGACGCCATCTTGCAGACAAAGGGGAACTTTCAGCTACAGGTGGTATCATTCCATGACCTCAGAACTACGGCAGGAAGAAGCAGAGAACCTGGGTGAAGGTCCACCCACTATAATAAAAGTACCCTCACTACCCCACTGGCGTAAAAGCCCTCTCCAGTAGGCCTCATGTCTCTGCTGGCATCCCTTTCTTGCTGATGGTTGATGAGCCTGCTGTCCAGCCTTACTCTATCTCATAAGGCCAGTCTTGACTTGCCACCGTGGAGGGGCAAGACAAACTTCACCCAGAGGCTTGACCCAGCTCAGGCTACCAAGCTCTAGGATGGCTCTGGGGACAGCACACCTCTGTTCCACACTTACCTCCCCTAACCAGGTAAAGTAAAAGGAGCAAAGAAGGCCTAGCAGTTGATCACTTAGATCTGGAGTCCTGGAGCTCTTGGCTGTAAACGCTGTTCCACCACTTACTTGCTGTGTGACCTTGACTAAATCACTTAACATCTCTGAGCCTTGGTTTCCTCATCCACAAAATGGAAGCATTAATTGTTTCTACTTCTCAAGACTGGTGTGAGGAATGATGGTCCACATGCTATCCACTGCTGCCTCTTTACGTGCAGCATCTTTTGTCCTTCACATCAACCCTGGGAGTTAAATACTGTCTGAGGCACCAAAAGGTTTAGGCATTTGCCTGGAGCTACACAATTAATAAGGGGTAGTACTGGGTGGGGTTCAGACAAGGCATTCACCCCAGAGCCATGCTCTCGCTGCAGTGCTATTGCAGTGCTATATTAGCTGCACCTCCTTTAATCTTCAGAATGGCCCTGAGGGTAGCAACAATTATTAAACCCATTTCACAGAAGGAGAAACGGAGTCTGAGAGAGAGTAAGGAATTCCCTGCGAGGCCACAGAGCTAGGAAGCAACAGGGCTAGGATGTGAAGCCAGGCATGCCGTCTTCTCAGTAATGGCCCCTTGGTGCTCCCCCAGGCACACCACTGTTCTAAAACTCAGGGACGCCAGCCCAGGGCGCAGGCTCGCACTGGGGTGCACCCATGAGCTGACAGAAATACCATCCTCGGACTGGTCTCTATACAAGTCATTTTTTTTCATGTTTTACCTTTACGTGTTTTCATGCAAACCACAGTGTACATGTCAACAATCCATCATTAAATATTGTTTTAAAATACCCACTATAGAGAATATCCACACCTCTGACGCCCCGCCCCCCACACCGTCACCTAATTCGCCAGTGTCCCGGCCATCCATGGTGCCCGGACCCCCACCCCCTGCGCCCCTGTTAAGAGCCCTGATCTCAGGAGCACGCATCGCTGGGGGGCCGGTGCCATATCTGCACGCATATCTCTTCTGGGTCTGCGTGGACACTGCCATCCAGCTGGCATCTACCTCAGTACCTGTAGTCATAGGAAGAGCCGTCGGTCCACACAAACTGCCCTTTCTGGGGAGTCCCATCCTGAGGCAAGGAGCAAGCCAAGGAGAAAAAGATGATCAGGCATCTGAGCCAGTTCTGGTTCGGGGGTGAGAATGTCACCCCCGTATCTAACAGTGCAGAGCTCGTCACTTTCCATCTGACATACTGCTGTTACTACCACCATAACTATTGGGTTGTCGGAAAAGTCATGATGTATTTTTTCCATGTTTTTTGTTGCAAAAATGCGTCATGACTTTTCCAACAACTCAATAGCTGCCATCTATTGGGGGTTTATCATGTGGCATGCCAGGTGCTTTACTCATTTTACCTTCACCTCCCGCCCCGCAAAGCAGGCATCATCACTCCCATTTTACAGATAAGAAAGTCAAGGTTCAGACTGGTCTCTCCAAATTCACACAGCTAATAAAGCATGAGTGCCTGGATTCAAGCTCAGGTCTATGTGACTCAAGTTCCCAAGACCCTGACACTCGATTCTCAAAAAGTCACCCTTCATCGCTTTTGTCTTTGTCCCAACAGCGTGTATTTTTCTTGCCTGATGTGGAACGACTCTCCAATTGCAAGAAAAGTCCCGCTGGGAATCTGATTGGTGCTGCAATAAATGTGCAAATCAACTGCGGAAATGACTACATCTCTGCAGTGTCCTGGGAAACAAGTCATTTCTCCATTTACTCCAGTTTTCAGAAAAGTCTGCCACAAGGCACTGGTGATTATGGAGGCCACGTCACATCATGGGAATAGCCTGCTGCTTCTGCAAGAGACCTCAGGGCTTGAGGTTCCAGCTGCACCCACTTCCTGGCTGTGCAATCCAGACAAGTCCCTTACCCTCTCTGAGCCTCAGTTTCCACACCTGTAAAACGGAGCTAACAGCTGCCTCAGAGAATTACTGTGAGGACTGAATGAATCAAAGCACGCAAAGGACTTAGCTAGTGCGTGGCACATGGGGCCCAGCCCTGAAAAGAAATGACAAAAAAAGAAGTCCTCTCGCTGTACTGCGTGCTACTATTATTCTTAGGTCTTGTAATACAAGTTTCTTAAATGCTAATTAAATGTATTCATAATCCAATTTTAAAGTTACTATTATAAATGGAAATCTGGGGTTTTTAAAAACACTACAAGTTCGGGCCGGCCGAGTGGCACATTGGTTAAGAGCTGGCTTGGGATGCCAGAGGGCCCCGGTTCGGATCCCACATATGAGGGCCAGTGACACTGCCCTCTACAGCTAAGATGCTGAACAACAGCTCAACCTGGAGCTGAGCTGCTGTGAGTTGCCGACGACGGCATAGGCTGCAGCCCCTGCTGCAGTGGGTTGCCATGGGCTACCATGTGTAGCCAGCAGCCAGTGTGAGTGGTCAGCAGCCGCTGTGAGCGGCTGTCCAGAAGCCAGCGACTGATCTGCCTCACCCGGGAAGAGCGCAATGATGGTGCCAACTTGGGCCAGTGAAGCAACGTCCTCCACAACTAGACTGAAGAACAAAACGACAGCAACTTGTCTCTTCCCCTTCCCTCAATTCCCCAGCGCTGTTCCCATCCCCCAATTCCCCAATAAAAATCTTTAAAAAAATAAAATAAAATAAAAATAAAAACACTACAAGTTCTATATGGGTTCTTGCCAGATGAATTCTATTGATTAAAAAAATATCTCTGCTGAGCCTGGCTGCTCCTATTATCTCTGCTGCTTTGCCAGCAACCTCTGAACCCTCAGGGAACCCTCAGAGTGTGCAAAGCTAAGCCCTCTACACACAGTAGCTCATTTACAACATGGCACTATTATCACCATGCCCATTTCACAGCCAATGAAATTGAAGCTCAGAGAGGCCTAAAGGAATGGCCCAAAGTCACCTAACAGCCAGAAAGCAGCTGGAACTGGATACCACTCCCTACAGTGCTGTGAGGCAGGCCTAGAGGCATACGTGCAGAATAGAGACAGGACGCAGCTTGCCCAGGGAAAGTCTGGGGACGAAAATCTCTGGGGGGGCGTCGGCTGTGATATTGCCAGGTATGAGGTCTGGCCCAAGCATCCTCTGCAGCCATTGTCCACCATTTCCCCACCCAAGCTGTCCCATTCTGCATCCCAGGCACACTGGTCTTCAGTGTCCCCTTGAATGTGCCGTGATGTCTCCCCCACCTCAGGTGCTCGGCCCATGCTGTTCCCTCAACCTGGAATGCTCTTCCTTTGGCTGACTCCTATTTGTCCATTAGACATTAGCTTAAATGTCTATTACCCACGGAGGCCATGGCAGCCATGGACATGCACTGCTTACAGCTCCTCCAGGAGGACCAGCTCCAGGGAGCACGGCTGATGGACAGCCTCCGGCGCCCCTGCCCCTTTGCACCCACTGCTGCACTCACAGTGAGACCACTGTGCCCCATAACTGGTCAGTTACTCAGCAGGTCAGGGGTGCGAGGGCTGGCCTCTTCCTGCAATGGGCATCCTTTGCGGGGGTCTCCCCACTGGCCCAGCCAAGACTGATTGGAGGCTCTTCCTACGCAGCCTTGGGCTCATCTCTCCTTGTACGGGTCTCGCACCCACGTCACTGCCTCCTTATCCTGCTCCCCATTTTCTGTCACAGATGTTTCCCCGCAAAACTCTCTTGCACATCTCATCATGTTTTGGGATCTGCTTTTGGGGGAACCCAACCCAAACAGAGGCCTTCCCTGCCCGTGCCGTTCGTCCCCATTGTATCCTCTGCCACAACACTTACCGTATCTGACTGGGGCATCGCGTCCTCACCAGTCTGTGGTCGTGAAGCCCTGTGCGGACGTCAGCTGGGGTCCCAGGAACACAGCTGTTCACGAGGTCACACACAAAGACATTGTCCTCCCAGCTGCGGGGGTAAAAAATGCCTGTTACACGTTGCCTCTGTTGACAGGACAGAGCTGAAAGCTGGAAGCAATTCTTGGTAACCTTCCTGGGCCAAAGGGAACAGAGGACAGGATGCAATCCTTCTGTTTCCTCCTTTTCCTTCCTTAATTAGGTCCCCCGTATGTGGCTGTCATCCCATGGGCACCTCTGGATTTGATCCATGCCAGCTCTGAGCAGGACACAGTCATGCCATTCACCTAAACATGCAAATCTACCTCAAAAACGCTAGCAAACTCACTGGGTTGCATTGAAATATCATGAAGAAACCAAAAAGCAGTGGGACGATTCCTGGGGACAAAGTTCTTCCGTCCAAAGGGTCTCTGACCTCGGTCCTACCCAGCTGGATAAGCACTGGCACCCCACAACCACCTGCTCATGCGCAATTCGGGGTCTCCTACATCACCTGCTGGACACACATTTGGGCAGTGATCTGTGGAATGGCCGCAGGGCTTTCTAGCACTAACGCCATCTTTGTTCAATTTTGTTTCTGCTTGGGAGACGGTTTCAGTGTTTTATTGCATTTCTCCCGAAAGAACTAGAAAGCAGAAAGGCCCAAGGTGCTGCTGCAAAGAGCAAGGAGCAGAGAGTAGATGAACTCCATTCACTTCAACTTCTCGCTTGAAACGACGACAGAAATTATGAGGAAAGTAAGAGAACCTTAAACGCCAATCACATGCGCATGCGCCATGGACATGAGCTGACCGTGTGTTTAATTCTGAAGGAAAGGACAGAATTAATAAGCATGAAGAAAACGCCAGAAATATAGAACGGAATCGTGTCTGAAAGACAAGATGTCATTAGGAGTTTTATAACAGTATCCAGCTTCATGGGAACTGAGCCACGTGGTAACAAATGTATTGTTAAAACTCAACTTTTCTTCATGTGTTTCTTCAGTAAAAGTGTTATGTGCCAAAGTGGAAAACGGCCTGTGAAAGAGAGGAAAGGGGGTGAATGTTAGTGTGGGGGTGGGGACCTCAGGAGTTGAAAGGAGAGAAAGAAGGGAAGTTGAGGCAGAAAAGAGCAGGTGTTGGGTCAGACATTGCTGAAAGACCCCTGAGTTTGCCTAGAATCTTTCTCATGCCCGGGTAACCAAGGTTTAGGTTCCTGGCACCATGAGCCAGGCTGAACTGCCCTTCTCAGGGGCTGGCTAAAGGGAGACCTTTATTCAGACTCCTTGTTAAATTTACTCTTTATTACATATACCTCATTTTCCTCTATAGGGTGGGAATTTTTGAGGACATACTTTATCCGTCTTCCTAAGTGCCAGGCCTGTGCTGGGCTCTGTGTCACGAGGGACTTGACCCCGGAAGGCCGCCTTTCCCTGTCCTGTCAGCTGCCCTCCAAGTATCGGGGGCACTGAGGGAGGGAGAAGCCAGGGCTCCCCCTCCGCCGAGAGAGCCGCTGGCTGGGGCTGCCTCGCCTCAGGGTCCCCAGCTTCCACAAGACGGGCCTGCCGTCCACTGAGGGCTGGAACCGGCTTCCCCTGTTGGGGATCTCGAGACTGTCTCACTACCGCCTATTAGATCTCATCCCTCATGTATGTATTAAATCCTCTGTGTTTTAAATATTTGTAGCGGTTCCTCTTTTCCTAGCTGGACCCTATATCCTCACTGTATTCTTCAGGACCACCGAGAACACAGTGGGTGTTCCATGTATTAGTTGGATGAATCGGTGGGAAGATTGAAGGCTCCCTCGGATGCTCAGACAGAGGACCCCTTCTTTATTCTTAATAAAACTCAGTGACCCTAAAGCATAAAGAACCAACTGCTTTTCTAACTTCGAGTCTCTGAGACTCTTGAAAAACACAGGCAAGATGGTGAATTCGTAGTCTGGGTGACAAGGGAACATATCACACCCGTCTTCAAGGAACCCACACATCAGCCAGGAAGTTGGGCGTGAACACAGGGCATGAAACTGTGAAGAAGGACGTGCTCTAGGAGAGGGGGGTAATGAGTGCAAGCAGGGTGTCACGGAGGCAGGCGAAACCTTGAAGGCTGAGGAAGTGTCTACCTGGAGGAGACAACAGGAGCGGGAATTCCCAGCAGAGGAAAGAGAATGTGCGAAGGTGTGGGGGAGGGAAAGGGCTGGCCCAGATTGGAGAGCTCTGACACCGCCCGTCGGGCTGGGGCTTAGGAGACACAGAGGATGCTGAAGGAGGCCTTGGTGGGTGGGTGGGCTGTGGAATTCGAATGCTCCAGTTCAAAGCCCAACGTCCATGCTTCATAGCTGTGTAACGCTGAGCAAGCTACTCACCTTCTCGGAGCCTCAGGTTCTGTACCTGTAAAATGAAGACACCTCCCTAAACCGGCTGAAGGGAGCTTTCCCATGAGGATGTATATAAACACTTAGCAAATAAACATCAGCTATTATTCCTTATAGTATGTGCTCTGTCTGTGTATTATGCGAGTGGTAACGCAGGGCCAAACCCCCTGTGATACAGCGCGGGACATAGCACGAGATCAATTCTTACAAAGATGAACCTTCCGGCATGCCCATGCTAAATGCTGTGCCTTCTGCACCAAGGACAGTTTCGATGAGACATTGAGCTGGAGAAAAATTAGCTTCAGTTACCAAAAAGACACGCCCATCTCCACGCCCCCTTTCCAAAGAAGAGGGGGACGGTGCTTGGTTGCACTCCAGAGGACCCAGGAGTCCACTCACCTGTGCATGGAGGCCAGTCTGGAGGACTTTCTGCCGATGGAGAGCTCAGCACAGTAGAAGTCAGCCTCGGCCCCGGTCTCATTGAGAGGGAAAAATCGATAGCAGTGGCCTCTGAACTCCATCCAGGGGGCACGGGGGAGCCTGGGGCAGCTCCGGCATGGCTGGGGTAGAGAGGAAGCACACTGGGGGGAAACCTGGCAGTGCAAACACTGTTTCTACAGCTTATGACATATTTTCAAGAATGAAAGTAAAACACGTTCCATTATGATGAATGCAATTTCACCCTTGAGGTCCCCAAAAAACACATGTATACCTAAAAGTCACCAAATGATGAAAGTAATCTATGTTCATTATAGAACACTTGGAAAATGTCACTACTGATATATTTTCCACGTCATGCTTGAACGCAGTGATCTTGTTAAAAATATAATTGTGATTATATGGTGCTATGCACACCTATCAGTATTCAGATTTCTGAAAATTAGAGTGTAAGGATTTCCCCCATGACCATGTGAGTTTTAGTAAACACCATTTTGAATAGCTCTTGAATACTCCACCGAGTGGCCCTTCTCGAGTTTATTTAATCATTCCCCTATTTATGGATAATTAGATTGTTTCCCTTTTATAAAAAAACAATTACACGCAATACTGAGATGCATACAGCCTCTTCAGCATTTCTCATGATTTTCTGAGGAGTGCTTTTAAAGGTTTGATACAATTTGCTAAATTGCCTCCTGAAAGCAATTTATCCTCCCACGGTAACGTCGGAGAGCACCGATCTCACACCGCCCTTGCCAATGCTGAGTGTTACAGCTTTAATGGCAATCTTTGCAAATTTTATAAGTGAGAAAAAAAACAAAACGGTATCTCGTTTCCATGTGCAAGTCTGGGCTCTCTGGCGAGGGTGGACATTTTTCCATGTGTTTATTGACAAACTACAGCCAAGGCTATTTATATCTTTAGCCCATCGAAATACTGGGAGTCAGGGTTTGTTCTTAACCTCCCTGGCGGTCTGATTATGTCAGTAATTTTGTACCCAAAGCGGTCCATTGTTTTGCATGGAAATTTGTTGTTTTATATTGTAGGCCTGTAATTCTTAGGAATGACTCACTTAAATCTGTCCAAACAAGAGTCTAGTAGGCATCCCAGGTATGATAAAGTTTGAAACACAAAATCATAAATTATAATATAATAAATAATTATAAAAAATAATATAATTTTATTCAATAATGTAATCAAATAAAAAACACCGCAATTTGTCATCGGCCGGTGTTCTCATCGGCGATCCCAGGAGGACACAGCAGGATCGCAGGGAGCAGGTAAGGGACTTCTCTGGGACACTGCAGTGTAATCCCGAGTGCGGCTCGGGGTTACCGCTTCTGGCAGTGAAAATTAACCCCGAGCCACACTCGGGGTTACCGCCAGGGTGGTTAATTATGAAAAGGCACAAAGGAAAAAACCCACGTTTGAGATAATACAGTTCTCCCAAGCTTTGGCCCCTCTGAAGAACCCTTAGGAGATACTTTTTTTTTTTTTTTACCATAGTTCAGGATGACTGACAGGAAGGTGTGCTGAGAACCATCCCTGAACTAACTCGGGGGGCTAATCAGTGATGGCAGGCAGCGGCCAGTGGTGACATGTGTTAGACTCAGAGGGGAAGCCTGGGTCACAGTCACCGGTCCTGCACCTGACGCGCTGTGTGACGCTGGCACACTCCTTCCCTTCTCAGCTGTCAAACTGGCTGACATTCGGGGTCCCTTTTGTGGTGCCCGTGGGTGTGGACTCTTTGCCTGTCAAGCCACCATAATAGCTGGCTGAGCTCATGAATAAAAAAGTAGGCGACAGTTCACGTTAGGGAAAACTGTGGCTTAGACAGGTTAAGGGGCTGGCTCAAGGTTATCCTGCAAAATCAAAAGTGTGTACGTGTGTGTGCACGTGTACCTGTGTGCATTTCTCTGGTGGGAAAAAGGGACGGTTGCTTTCGTCAGCAGAGCCGTGCTAAGCAGGCAGGTTCCAAGCCCTGCTTCCGGTCACTGATCAGGGCCACCAGGCTTTTCCAGTTTGTCCAGAATCAGCGCTTCCTCCAGCCCAGGCAGCTGCACTGGTCAGGGCTGGTTTGTCCCACACATTCCTGCTTGGCCCTGGCCAACTGTCTTTCAATGTGCACATTATCCACAGCGACGAAGCATTTGCTCTCTTAACCCTCCTCTGTGTGGCAAAGGGACAGAACTGTGCATGGGGACGCCGGTGGGTTCCGTATCCTCGCCAATCCCTGCCCCCCAAACCTCGGTCACCTTTCTCAGCTGAGAGCACCGGTCTAGAAGGACACTGCCCCGATGCCTTCCCGCAGCATCAGCCAACAGGGCTGAGGGACGCCTTGTGACTCTGGGTGTTACTGAGCTCTTCGTGGGACTTTCAGGCCCTGCCTCCCACGCAGAGTCTCAGCTAAATCAGTGTCGCAGGTCTATTTTTGGAGCAGTTTCCCGCTTTGCATGGAAGAGAAGCAGCAAATCATTTCCTTCAGCTTTCCACCCATCACTTGGTACCAAGGACACTCATGGGTGAGAACCTGACCATGCACCAGGCGCTGGCTGGAATAATTGGCCAAGGGGATGGTATTTCTGGGGCTAACCCACTTTCCCCACTCCCACCATCCAAGAATTATTCAGCATCATAAATATTCCTATTAGAGAGGGACCAGGGGTGGCCACATCATCCCAGTTTGCCCAGGACAGTCCTAGTTTTAAAACAGGAAGTCCCACATCCCAGGCTTCCCTCAGCTGGTCATTGTGGAGCAGTAGGTCTCGATCGAGGGCGATATTGACCCCCAGGGGACATTGGACATTTGTGGTTGTCAAAAATGGGGTGTGTGTGTACTATACGAATCCAGTGGGGAGAGGCCAGGGATGATAAACATCCAACAAGGAACGGGACAGTCCCTGACCACAGACAGTCTTCCAACCCCAAATGTCAACAGAAACCCTGCCTGAGATGGAAGACAGAATCCCACACATGAAACGACCCCACACGTCACAGCAAATAGCCACATTTCTCGGCCTCTCCGTATTTTCCTTAACAAAAACTAAGCCACGGGCCACGCAACTGATCAAAAGTAGAGTTTGGTTCCTTTCTCTAATTTTCGAGTTAAAACGTATCACTATTATAAGCCCGTGGCTTCAAAGCACTGGGGAAGTTGCTGTCTAAATTGAATGGTACAGACCTCACCAAAGTACACTGTCCAAGGCGGGTCTTGCTTTTTCCTCCTGAGCTGGGATGGAGCTGACACACTTCTCTGTCATCCCACTCTGACAGTGGGAGGAGTTTTTATTTTCTCCTGGAGTCCCCTTTAGGTAAGGTGAGACTGCATGTGTCTCTGCTCTATGAGAGGGACCCAATGTCAAGTCCTGGCTCCCTCCTAGTCAATGTCTGTTGTGACCATCCTGCCCCCTGGGTCTGGCACATAGTAGGTGCCAATAATAACTCCACATGTGCTAGGAAATCACATCCTGCTCCTTTCGGGCACCTGCCCTCTTCGGGGGACAGTGGTGAGACGAGCATGGGCACCATCCCTGTGTCCTGTCTGTAGGATGGCGTTCCTGGGCTTTTCTAACTGAGCATGACTGACAGGTTTCCTGGGTTATTTAGGACAAGGACTCAGCAGCAGTGTCACCAGTCACCAGGGAGCTCATTAGCAGCGCAGAGCCTCACTACTCCCTGCCCCAGACCCCCAGAGTCAGAACCTGCATTTTAGCCAGGTGGCCCATGGGTCCAGTGCACAGGAACGTCTGGGGGCGCTGGTCTACAGGGTGCCAGCCCGAAGGATGGAGCCTGTACACTCACTCACTCATTCCCTCCCTCTCAGAGGAGGGTGGCCAGGGAGACCAAATAATTAGTCAGGCGAAAGGGGCTGGGAGGGAGAGGAGGGAAGGGCCCTTGCTCCTAGAGGAAGGAGGCTCCAAGGTTTTCCTGGGATCCTAAAGCCGGGGGGCTATTCAAAAAGCAAGTCCCAGGCC